TCACCCACATGCCCATGCCCATGCATGTCCACTAACTGGCTTGTGCGTACACATCTCTCCACACTGCCCTGCACGCAGTTCACACACCCAGCCGCACGTTTTGTCCACGTTGCCTTTTGTTTCTCCCTCAGGCCCTTTACACAGACCCTAGCTGACGTTTGGAGGTGGTGTCCTGCCCATGGCTGCCAATTGCCCCGCTCGTGTGTTGGGTGGGGATCATGGGCCCTCCCTGAACCCCAGTGACACAAAGTCTGCCTCACCACCCAGGGAAGCCTGGGGCCGGCCACACGTCAGGAGCAACTTCAGCAGGGTGGTGCTGGGCTGGCAGCCGGCTGCCGTCTCTGCTCAGCTGGCCGCCTGTTTGGTGGCTGCAGAGACTGCGCACTGTGGGGCTGGGCCCTCACTGGGACCCCAGGACGACATGGGGGGAGTATGGGCCAGGCAGCCACGTGGCAGTGGGAGCTGGGCTGGAGTCCACTGCTGGAAGATAGGACACAGGCTGGAAAAGCAGGGTGCTGGGGGCAGGAGCTTGGGCTTCGAGGGATGGGCACAGAAATAAGGCAGCAGGCTGGGGAGAAGGCCCCTCCCCACAAGAAATCATCCCTAAGATTCCAAAGACCTGGAAAACACCTCACTAGGAGAACCTTCATGGAGTAGGCCCAGCACCCAGACAGGTGGGGGGCCGAGCAGGGCAGGGCTGGGAAGCCCCCTCTGCAAAGCCCTTCCCGTACTCCTCTGGCTCCGGGTTGGCAAGGCTGAGTTGAGCATCTGGAGTCAAGGTTGATCGCTGGGGCCCAGGCACCAGGAGTGAAGCAGAGGGGCTGTGCTGTGTGGGCCTCCCCAGGGACCACTGCAGCTCATGGAGAGGGAGTTGCACCCAGAGCCCCCTCTTGGCCAGCTCTGCAGGCCTCCAGACCACCACGGCAGCCAGCACAGTGGTCCTGGGAGGAGGGCGAGAGCCCTGTGGGAGCGGGGGTGGGGCTCAGGCCCTGTTTGGAGAGAGGGCTGTTCAGGGAAGGGAACAAGATGGGGCTGCAGGACATTCCCTCCCAGCGACAATGACAGAGTTACAGCCACAGTCCCCTTGGTCCCCTGTGCCGCAACTGTGAGGATGATGGCAGCTGAGGATTCGTTGGGGCCCAGCCCTGTACCAGGAAGCATGGACTTGCTGAGGCCCAGCTGGTCAACTTCCAGGAGGCCCTGACCATGGCCAAGGCCCAGCCATGAGGGTCTCCTCCTCAGCTGGGGGCAGCCGACCCTTTGGGAAAGGCAGGGCTAGGCGGCTCCCACATCCTCCCCACCCCAGGATGAGCCTGCAGAGAAGGGCCGCTGTGTTTTCAGCTAGAACCATGGACACGAGGGTCCAGGGAAAGGGATGTGTGGACGAGCCACCTGCAGTACCCACGGCCCAGCCTGAGGCAGCTCACTCCTACCCCCGCCCCTGCCCAGGCTCCAGCCCACTGGCTGCTGGCCAGGCCAGAATGGCAGCTGCTTCAGACTGGACCTCATGCCCTGGCCGGGGCTGTGCATGGCAGGTGCAGGGTGCAGAGTGCAGTGAGAGTGTGGAGGGGCTTCGGTGGGAGACCCTGATGCTGAGCAGACACAGTACAGCCTGGTAAACAAGGCCTGTGTGCTGGGCACACCAGTGCATGGGGTCCGGTCTGAAGCAGCTGCTCATGGGGGCTGCCCCATCCCCAGGTTGAAGCCCAAGCCACACCATGCTGAAATGAGCAGGATCTTCCACCAGGAAGCCCCAGCCTTCCAGAGGGAGGACTTAGGGCTCCAGGACAGCACCCCAGGACCACTGGTGCTCACAGATCAGCAACCAGGAGGAGCCCACTGGGTTCCCAAGAGCTGCAGGAAGGTGAGGAAGTGACCCAGTTGTGGAGCAGGAGGAGTCTGGCTGGCCACCTCTGGCCCTGCAGACCGCCCTCATCACCTGGGGAATCCAGGACCCTGAGAGTGGGCCAAGGGGCAAGGGGTGACGTCGCCATGATGGCACTCACCATGATGGGCCCAGGTGCCCACCACTGCAGGGACAGAGGAAGTGAGCCTGGACAGTGGGACTCAGCCAGGTGGGGTCCCCAGGGCAGTGTGGGGCAGCCCCGGGGCCAGGCCTGTCCTTGTCTCCTGGTTATCAGGGGATGTCAGGCCTATCAAGCTGTGGGGAGAGCCTGGCCTGGGGCTGGGGGTGGCAGTGCTGAGTGTAGGAGCTGCAGCCCAGTCCAGCAAGCCGGGCACCATGGACACCAGGCGGAGGTCCCGGCAGGCCCTGGCCTAGGTGCTGGGTGGATTGCTCCTTCCCGGTGCCGGGTCCTCTTGCAGCTCCTGGGAGCTGACCCGGGAGCCCGCCCCTGGGTACCCCTGGCTGTCCCAACTCAGTGTTTCTCCTACAATCAATCAGGGTCTTGCCAGGAAGGGTCGGGGCTGCCACCTCCCTGGGCCACTCCGGCGGACAGCTGGGAGGTGCTGCCACAGACCACCTGGGTAGGTGGTCCACAGGGGCCCTGTCTCACGCTGGGCCACATCTGCAGCCTGTGTTTCGTCTGGGGTGGGGTGGGGGACTTTGCTGTTTCACTGCACCCCGCCGTCAGCCCTGCTAGGAGGGCTGCCACACGCAGGGAGACGTGGAGGCTCAAGTCCACACTGCTCCACCAGCCAGACCCAGAGCTTCCTAGCGGGGACCAGTGTGGGGCTTGAAATCCCAGCCATCACTCAAGGGGTTTCACTTGTGCTAACACCTTTCTTTTAGAGGGGGTGTGTGGGAGGGTCCAGTGACAGCGTTAATCCCCATAGTCCACGAGGCTCCAAAAGGGGTGGTCCCCATCCAGGCACCCCTGGGCACTGGCCCTGGGTCAGGCTGGGCTGGGGCCCATGGCCCTGAGGCCGGGTCCGGCTTGGATTCACCTGCTCTTCCTTCAGTGCCTTCTAACGCCATCCAGCCGCCGCAGCCAGGCTGAAAGGAGCCCACACCCCAGTCGCTCAGGAGCCACTTCAGACAGCTCTGTGAGACATGGGGGCTTCAGTCCCGGGGGACACGCCCATCCAGGCTGCCTCAGCTGCCCGTGGAGCCTCCAACCACAGCCACTGGCTCCAGCCACAAGATGAGAGATGACCACCCTGCCCCACTCAGTCTGCTTGGGCCATCCAGTTGGCTGCAGAGCAGAAGGACCGAGACCAAACCACAGAACAGAGCACATGGACAGGTAGGCAGCACTACAGAGGGGAGAGCGGACCTGGAGGGTGTCTGGAAATTTACACACACCAAGGCCGGAGCTCACAAGAGGAGGAGCAGGCGCTGCTCCATCCAGAAGTCTGAATCGTCCCTGGTCTGCCTATGGCTGCTCTCACCTTCCTTTTGCTGCAGTGCATGTCAAATGCATGAATGAATGAGCAAATGAGTGAATGAGTCCCTGCCACCAGCACCCACAGGGTTACACCAAGGCCACCGAGGCTCAGCGGGGACAGGACTGACCGGTGTCACACAGTCAGCGGCGGGGGGGGAGCCTCCTTGCCAGAGGCTGGGCTGGAGCTCAACCCCAGGGCCACCTGGCTCACCTCGTCTGTCCCCACAGCCACTTTTCAGTCCCCACCATGGCCACCACCCCCTGTCCCCCACCTCTGTCCTCATAGCCACCCTGCCCACGGAGTTGATCGCTTGATTAAGAGCAGCATTTAAATACCCAGGGAAAAAGATCAATTGGCCTGGTTCCACTTTAATCCATCAGTTCCATTTCTGATAAATGGCCCTGTGCTGAAGTCACCAGGTAGATCCAGTGCCCCGCAGAGATTACCTACCAGGTCAGGCAGCCAGAGCAAGCACCTGGTGGGCTGGGGCAGGCCTGGACCCTCAGCGGGCCATGTCTGCCCGCCCCACTTCCTGGCACTTTCCATGGTGGTAGGTGTGGGTATAGAGGTTAGAGCCCAGCTCTGGCCCCACCTGCCAGGGCCTTGAGCCCAGCTCCCGTTCCACGAGCTGGTGACATTGTTGGGCTGGGATTAAACAGGATCTGCGGCTGCCAGGCTGGCCCCTCAGGAAGGAGCCGACACCAGAGGACGAGTGGATTAGACTCGAGGTCAATATTTGTGGAATTGAATTGAATCTGTCACTTGGGGCTGTGTATGTTCCAGGTAATTTTGCAGTTTCTGCTTCTGGCAGGAAAACCCAACACGATGAGGGCCCCTCACAGGTCAGGTCACAGTCACCCGGCCCAGGAGAGACACATGGAGCCTTGTGTCTCAGCAGGCAAGGTAGGGGGACGGGGCAGGGCCAGGGAGGTCCCCGAGTGCTGGCCAGGGGATGTGTCTGCAGGGGTTGCCACCTATGGAGGGTCTTCCCTGGCCCCCAGGACATGGAAGCCCCACAGCCAGGCCCTGCCCCCAGCTCCCAGGACCTGCTGGCCCTTTAGGAGCCGGGGATACTGGGTCTGACCTCTCTGCTGCTGGTGCCACTGCAGGGCCATACTTCACCGTGCTGGTTGCTGTCCCGGGTTGGGGGTGGGCAGATGGAGGCATATGGACAGTGGATGCCAGGGGAAGGGCAGAAGGAGACACTGGACAGCCCTGGGGAAGCCAGGTCAGGGCAGGCCCAGCAGGATGGGGGCTGTCCACCTCTATGGTCAGCATTCCCTGCTGAGTCCCCACAACTCTGCAGCCAGGAAGCCCTGTAGTGTGAAGAGTGGGGACATCGAAACACCCTGGCCCCAAGCCCACCAGGTGGCCCCAGGGCCCCACCGCTCCCGGCCCTTCCTGCATGGGTCTAGGGTGATGGGGGCTCGTCTGAGGCCCAATGCTGCCCACCTCGAATCCCCAAACCCCAAATTGGATTAGCTGTGTTTAGAAAGCAGCAAAGCCGCTTATATTTGAGCAAAGGCTCAGCAGATTACCCTGAGCCAAGAGGGTGTCTGCCTGCGTGAGGGGGATTTGAGGAGGAAAAACTGCACTAAACAGGTGTTAATTGAAAACAAACTCAGGGGATGATCGGAGCTGACTGGGCCGCATAATACCTTCTCGAGCAGGAGCTCCTGCTGCCGCTGGGACAACCAGGAGTGGATGCCGTCAGTCCACAGGCCACTGGGCCCAAGGCCAGGAAGGGGCCCTTAGGACTGCCCACGGGAGAAGGGTGTGGTGCTGACACGAGGTCACAGGGAGTCCCTGAGACTGGACCTCCACCCCGTGACTCAGTTTCCATCCGGTGACCCTCTCAGAAGCCCAGGTCCCAGCATTGCAGGAAGCTCCATGAAAGCTCATCATCACATTGGCTCCAGCGGCTAGGAAAGCCTTGGAGGCCCGAGGCCTGCTGGCCAGACCCTGTCCTGGGCCCTGAACACAAGCTGGGCCTGGAAGGGACAGTGAGGTGGGCCGGAGCCCACACCTGCTCAGTGCAACAAGCCCGGGCACCCAGTGGGTGGGCCCTGCAGCCAGGGAGATCCCATACTTCAGCCTTCCAGGTCCTGCCCTGGGTACCATGTGCCACATCACATAGCCCAGCCATGGGACCCTCCTAATCCCAGCCAGGAGGGAGGATGGAGAATTTTTATTTCAGAGGAGTGCAAATACACAAATCCTTCCCTCCCCCACCATAAAGAGCCTGGCTGGCTTTGGGAGGGAGGGCAGGATTTTTAGCCTCTCCCTTTCTCAAGGCACAGCAGGCCAAGCGTGTGTCACTCATGCCCCTTTTACAAGTAAAGAATCCAGCTCTGCGCGGTCAGGTCTTCCCAGTTTGCTCTGGGGTGCCAGCTCACCTATCCGTAGGACCTGGCTCCTAGGGGTCTCTGGCCTCCAGCTGATACGGAAGGGAAGTGCTGGGAAGGGAAGACTGTGGTCCCTTTAAATGATACAGGAGGGAAGGGAAGTGCTAGGTAGAGGAGGGCATGGTCCCTGGCTAGGGCTCCACCCCCACGGACCTAGATGAAGACAGGCATTTCCTGCCCAAATGTTGCATTTCCCAAGGCCACCCTGGCCTGCCATGCCCCCATCCTGCTCCTATAAAAACCCGAGACCCTAGCAAGGCAGGGACAGAAGCCACTGGGCGGTGAGAGGAACGCATTGGTGGGAGAAGGTAAGTGTGTGGACGTCCCAAGGACATCTCCGAGCAGCCGACTCCAGGGGAAATCCATCTCCCTCTGGCTCCCCCATCTGCTGAGAGCTGCTTCTACTCAATAAAACCTTGCACTCATTCTCCAAGCCCACATGTGATCCAATTGTTCGGTACACCAAGGCAAGAAACCCCGGGATACGGAAATCTCTCTGTCCTTGTGATAAGGCAGGTCTATCTGAGCTGACCTGCACCAGCCGCCTGCAGACAGCTAACCTGAAAGACCACCCTGCAACACATGCTCGCTGCGGTTCAGGAGCTGCAAACCTCCACCCTAGACACTGCCGTGGGGTCGGACCCCCGCAGCCTGCCCCTCTGTACGCTCCCCTAGAGGTCTGAGGGTTGAGCAGCAGAGCACTGAAAAGATTCCCCTGCTGCATGCCCTGCCCTGCAAGGGGGACAAGGGGACTTTTCCTGTTTCACTGTTGGGGGTAGGTAGTGATCCCCTGGCCGGAGACAGCACATGGGGGAGAGACCAGATGCACCCAGTGGGTGGAGGATTCTCCTGGGGGGAGGCTGAGGCTGTTAGGAAAGGAGGGGCTGAGGGGATGCCACAGCCCACCCTCTTCTGCCCCCCGCCCCCCTCTGCACCCCTCCTGAGGCTCAGGAGACTGAGAGCAGAGCTCGGAGGCCAATACCCAGCACACAGGGAGCAGTGGGGTCTGTGGTCAGGGCTGAAGCACAGGTGATGGCAGGCCAGTGAGAGGGAAGTGGTCCTCTAGGCCCAGCTTCCGGAGATCCAGACCCCCTGGCATGGCCCAGGGCAGGGGCCTCCAACACTCGCCCCAAGAGGCCTGTGGCCCCGCCCTGAGTGGGGGGTCCTCCCGCCGGCCGTGACTGCCCTGCAGTAGCTTCTCTGCTCCCTGTAGTCAGCACTCTCGGCCCCTCTGCCGTGCGCCGTGTCATTTCAGCGGATCCTGAGCCAGAGAAAGCCATCAATTATTCAGCTCCTGCCTCTCAGCCTCCTCCGTTACTACCTCGTAAAGCTGGGAGATAAATCTCTTTGCTTGCTCCATGGCACCGAGAGGGAGCAGGGCAGCACCGGGACCGGGACAGGCTCTGGCTGGGCCCCGGGTCCCCGAGCCAGCACGGGCAGCCTGCAAGGCTTCTCTGCTATTAATGCTGTAATTCAGCAGCAGTGCAGCTGGGGCCTGGCATACAGGGTCCCCGAGACGAGGAGGGGCTGCCCCTGCCGGAATGCACGAGAGGGTGCCACCAGGGTGAGTCACAAGGACCACTTCTGCGGATCTGGCAGGTCCCAGGGACCCCTTTAAATCTGGGCCTGGGGAGAGTCTCTGATGCTGCTCTGGAGGATCGAGGAGCCCGACTCTGCTCACAGGGAAGACCACGCTGCTGCTGCTGCGGGGCAGGACAGCTGAGGAGCACGCCAGGCAAGGAAGCGACAGGCACGGTGGCTGGGGAGCACAGTGCAGTCCTAATGTCTTCAGCCACACCCAGGCTGACCCTGGAGGCCCACATGGAAAACCCTGGAAGCGACCCTGGCCACCTCTGGTGGAAGAGGCAGCCCCAGCCTCACCTTTCAGGACAGCGCCATCTGCCACCGAGGCAGCTCCGGAGAGTGGGACAGCTGTGGGAGGCAGGACCTGCCCAGGCTGCCCTGCTGTGCACTTGCAGCCCCCTTCACCCCCAGCAAGGCTCTTGTCCCTGTGAAAACTGAGCATTTGGACAGTCTGACGCCTTGGAGGGTCCAGGTGAGCCCCCCCACCCCAATGCCCAGCCCTGCATAGCCCGGGAAGTGTTTGTTCTATGGCTGAGTCCCACGCCTGCTCCTGCCTCGGCAGGCCTTGAAGTGTCCCCGGTAGGAGATGGAGGGTGAACACGGGGGGGACAAAGTCACAGGACAGCACAACTGGGGTGGGGCCAGGCTGGGCAAATGGGCCATGAGACCCACTCAGAACCTGCCCTCAGCAGAGCCACGCCCACCCTTGCAAACTCTCTGCCCAGGGGTCCACTCTAAGCTCATGGGAGCTGTGGCAGTAAGGGTGACTCCAGGCCTGGCCAGGAGTCTCTGGCCGACTCCGCCACCTTCCTTTTCCCCTCCCCACTTCCCACTCCACAGGCCTCCTCAGGGCAGGGGCCGTGACAGAGGTGACAGAGGTTCGGAGGGGTCACTGAGTCCCTGCAATTAGCAGTAATGAGTTGACACGTGCGGGTGCCGGCCACAGGTCAAGTGCTAATGGAGGCTGATAATTAACTCCTCCGGCCGAGAAGCCTGCAGCCCCTCCTCCCTCTGACCATTAATCCTCAGGACATCGAACAGCCCTGCCCCACGGCTAATGGGGTCTCATTCTAACCATAATGACAGGGCTGCTGCATAGGAAACGCAGGGCTGGTGCAGGAAACACCCCCATCCCAGGCTGGAGGCCTACCCCGGCCCCTTCGGTGAGGGTCCTGCCCCCCAGTCCTGCTCCTGGAGCCTTCCTGACTTGCCACCTTGCACCCCTCAGGGGCCATAAGCCTGGCAGCCTGTCCCAGCCTAAGCCTCAGCATGAGATACCCCTCTAGCCTCCACCTCCCAGCACTGCCTCAGGAAGAGGGGCCGTTCAGACTCGCAACCTGCTGTCCTCCCCTGCACCTCAAGCTGCCCCCAGCCATGTCCAGTTTTCAGTGCTATTCATGGTGCTCCACTGACCACCTGGCACCTGCTTCTGCCACAGCTTCAGTGCCCTCCCAGGGCCAGCCAGCCCTGAACAAAGCGGCCCTGAGCCCTCCCTCCCTCTGGGCCTTGACCTCTGTTCCTGTGGCCAGCTCCGGTAGCTGAGCCAGCATCCACCCAAATGGGAAAGCAAGAAACCCTGCGGCTGCTTCTGTGCCTCTTTCTTCTGGGTGACAAGCCAAGTCTGTGTCTCCATCTCACTCAATCCTCGGGTTTATGCCCAAGGGCAGGGCCATTGTGCTCCATTCATGGGTCAGCCTTGTCTTAGGCACCAAGGGGCCGGGTCCCCCTCTGTGCTTGGCTTGATGACACCTCTGCAGTGTCGCAGGAATATTCCCTTGCCCATCTCAGCATAGGCGCTCACTCTGAGGGCCTGGCCCTCTTTGAAAACTATCCGGTCTGGCAGCTGGGGGTGAGGACGCTGGGTCCCAGTGAGCACATCTCAGATCCCGACCCCTGGGCACCCCATAGGCTTCTTGTATTGCTGGGGGGTAGGAATGGGGCCCTCCTGCATACTGCCTCCATGTAGCAGGGCCCAGACCTCCATCTCCCCTGCAGTCCCACAGCCCCTGCCCAGTTCATCTGCTACTGGAAACTCCACCACGGTGACCCTGAGCTGCCAGGAAAGATGGGTTACGATGGTACCGCTGCTCAGAGGGCAAGGCGCACCACTTCTGGCCACCACGTCAGGCACCGTCTGCTGGCACAGGAGGCCGGTGAGGGAGGTGAGGAGACGCTGTCTTCAGAACGTCCTCTGCCTGCAGCAGTGAGGTCACTGCAGCTTCACGGCGAGCAAATGCACATTCCATGGGCTTCATTCTCCCAATCTCCAAAGACGGGACTGGCCCTGCGTGGGGGCTGTCGCGCCTCAGTGCACACGGGAGGCCTGAATCAGCAAGGTCCACGCAGACCCCTGGCGTGGCCAGGAACCCTCCAGGGTCTGCAGCACTCAGGTCAAGGCTGGGAATTCAGAGCCTCACAACCAAATGGCCCAGGAAGTCCTTGAGAAGACTCACCTCCGAAACACTGCCAGAGCACCTCCCATGCACCCAGCACTCCAGGGGGCACCCACATGCGTGTCCTTGCTCACTGACCACCCTTGTGAACAAGTGACAAAACTGAGGTTCTGAGATGGGCAGAGGCTCAGCCCTCCTTTCACACGAGTGAGTGGCAGAGCTGGGATTCCCAATTCCCACCCGGGACCATCCACACTGGAGCCCACCCAGCTGTCTCCAGTGGGTGCAGACACAGGTGGGGCTGAGAAGCTGGCAGACAGGCAGGGGCACCTGGACCCCTCCCTGGCGGTCGCTGTCAGCTACACAGGGGCCATGGCGAAGCTCTCGAAAGCAATCGCTGGGCCGTGACCCAGCCCCTGGATCTTCAGCAGTTGCTCCTGTCTCTCAAAAACTAGTTCTCACCTTCTCCAGTAATCAGAAGCTGGGACCACAAGGGTTTCATCCCATGCAGTCCACGGAACAGGCCATGGCTCTCTAGGCACAGGAGGAGGTCAGCTGTCAACCAGTCCCATCCAGCCGTTGCCCAGGTATATGGCCTCCTCCCCTCTTTCTGCTACCTCACCCCTGCTCCTGGTGCTGGAACACGTGACCCAGTGCCAAAATGTGCCTCCCCCAAACAGCCACCCCTCGCACTGCCCACCATCATCAGTCACAGCTGCAAGAGTTCTCCAGGGTCCCCAGCTCACCCTTCCACTATTTCCCCCAAACCCCCAGCACCCCCCACCCACCCCAGTCCTCAGCCCTGACTGAAATTTCTGCTTTCTGTGCTTTGCATGTCTGTGCCACCAAGTCACTGAGGCCAGGGCCAGGTGTTAGCTGCAGCCTTGAGGCTATTGAGAAAAATTTATGCAGGCAGGCAGGCAGGCAGGCAGGCAGGCAAGAAGGAAGGGAGAGAGGGAGGGAAAGAGGGAGGGAGGGAGGGAGGGAGGGAGGGAGGGAAGGGAGGAAGGGACTCAGGGTATCTTCTTATTGTTTCTTTTTCTTTTTTTAGGTGGAGCCTCACTCTGTTGCCCAGGCTGGAGTGCAATGACAAGATCTCAGCTCCCTGCACCCTCCACCTCCGAGGTTCAAGCGATTCTCCTGCCTCAGCCTCCAGAGTAGCTGGGATCACAGCGGCACACCACCATGCCTGGCTAATTTTTGTATTTTTAGTAGAGACGGGGTTTCCCCATGTTGGCCAGGCTGGTCTCGAACTCCTGACATCAAGTGATCAGCCCACCTCGGCCTCCCAGAGTGCTGGGACTACAGGCGTGAGCCACCGCACCCGGCCATGGGGCATCCTGTTAATTAGAGTGTGAGCACTGCGGATGTGGGCTGGGGAATAAGTCGATGCTGACAGAAAATAACTTAAACCATTGAAAGGAACAGGAAGTAAACAGAAGCAAATCTTTACCGAATCCCTGGTGAGAAGGAACTTTCCAAGAATAAGGGAAGGATGAGTAGACTTTGTGTGGAAGCTAAACTCTCAGGTGGCTCGAAAGAAAACATCAAGCCAAAAGATAAGCAATGAGGCGGGTACATTTTTGACGCTAACATGACAAAAAATTAATAGCATTAACACGGCAGGAACTTATCCGAAGCAGCAACACTGAGGGTGACGTGAGCCGACTGCAGACAAGGCAGCACACACAGCAACCCGGACGCCAGGGGGCGCGCCACAGAGCAGGCTGCCCCGTCCCCACCCCGCCCACACGTGAGAGCCGCCAGACACGCAGTAAGCACGCCCCAGCCCCTCCAGCCGGGCACCACAGGAGGCCCTCCCTCCTCCACCAAGGGCAGGGATCACAGGGCCAGGTTTTTATCATTGGACGAGGTGTGTCCCGAGTCATGACCTGCTTAACCCAGGAACGCCCCTTTTTGGAATCTATGCTAATTAAGCACTCAGAGAGGTGGACCTCACTCCACCGGCTCAGATAATGACCAGAGCATATCTATAACTGCAAAAAAGGTGGAAGCAGCTACGCTATCCAACCATGGGGCAATGTTTACGTCGATGCTGGGAGAGACACACCACAGACCAGCCCCTGAAGAGACATCTGTGGTGAGTGAGATGCATGCTCTACAAGCCCAGGGAGGCTGGGAACCTGGAAGAAAGAAATGTGTGCACACAGTAAGACTGGGAGGAGGGGAACACACTACCATTCGCCATGAGGGTCTCTTTACTTACAATAAGCATATGAAGCAGAGACAGGAGAAAGGGATTCCCAGGCATGAAGTGCAGGGCAAGAGGACTCAGGTGTCCTGATCAAGCAGTAACGCCAGCACCTTCTGCATCGTGAGATAAGTCATCTCGGCTCTCATATGCTCCAATCATCTCTGTGACTGTAACGAGAGCCCTGTCCCTGGACACGGGGCAGCTTTGAGGGAAAGAATAGAGGGCCAGGTGGGCAGGTGTGATGGAGGGTAAATGAATGAGTGAACAGACACACAAGGAGATGGAAACATAGGTGGGTAAATGCACAGGTGGGTGGATGGATAGTGAGTAGGTAAAAACCGATGGGTGAGCAGATGGGGGAAGAACAGATGGGAGAGTAGAGAGATGGCTGTGTGGATGAATGGTGGGTGGACAGGTGGACAAATGGAGGAATGAATGGCGGGAGGGAGGGATGGATGGATAGATGGGTGGATGAACAGATGAGCAGATGGATTAGCAGATGGGTGGAGAGATACATGGATGAGTGGGTGGCTGGGTGGAGAGACAGGTGAGTAAATGGATGGATAGATGGATGGACACATGAATGGATGGGTGAGCAAGTGGATAGGTGGATGGATGGATGAATGAAAGGATGGGTGGATGGATGGATGGATGGATGGATGGATGGGTGGATGGATGATGGATGGATGGATCAGTGGCAGGTGGATGGGTGAAATGATGAATGGGTGGAGGGATGGATGGTTAGAAAGACGGATGTCTGGATGAATGGATGGTGAACAGTGGATGAATGGGAGCTCAGTGAGGGGCTCTGGTGGGTAAGGCTTAGCCACTGACCCACGTCCTGGCCTGTGTGTTTGCCCCTCCCTTCCAGGAACTCTGCTGGGCCGCCTCTTAGGCAATTCACCACCCTGGGACATCTTGCAGACAAGGAAATAGGCTTCAAGAGGCGACGGTGCCTGCACAGGGCACGCAGCCACAGGGCCACCTTCTACATGGCTCCCACCTGCAGCCACGTCTGCAAGGAAGCTGGGTTTTGTGGGGTTTTTTGAGATGGGGTCTCACTCTGTCACCCAGGCTGGAGTGCAGTGGCGTGATCTCAGCTCACTGCAACCTCCGCCTCCTGGGCTCAAGTGATTCTCTTGCCTCAGCTTCCCAAGTAGCTGGGATTACAGGCTCCTGCCACCACGCCTGGCTGATTTTTGTATTTTTAGTAGAGACAAGTTGCACCATATTGGCCAGGCTGGTCTTGAACTCCTGAGCTTGTGATCTGCCTGCCTCGTCCTCCCAAAGTGCTGGGATTACAGGCTCACTGAGCCACCACATCGGGCTGAAAGCTGGGTTTTTACAGGGGCAGGTCCTCAAAGTGGATGCCCCTTTTTTAAAGCCTCTGCCCCAGCAACCTTCAAGCAGCCACTTGCCCTGGACTCCAAGCAGCTGCCCTCCCCTTGCTGTCCTCTGGACTGTTCAGTATGCAGAAGGACTGGCCCTGCAAGGCCGCCATAAATCCTGGCCCTGTCCTACAGCAGATCAATCGCCAATCGGCTCCAAATCCCCTAGATGTCTCGGCCGCTCGGCCCAGCTGCGGAGCCACGGCCATGGCTGTCTCTAGATGCTGCTGGCTACATATATTGAACTTGAAGCATTGGATTACATGTTTGTTCAATAGCAATAAACTCCCAAAGTTTTATGGGGTCATAAAACTGCTGCCTGGGCTCCCACTTAGGTGCTGTGTAATGTACACAGGCTGGTTTCCCCGCTAATGGGGCGGCGCAAGTGATTTGGGGCTATTAGCTGGAAACCACGTCTGCATTTTCCAAATTCTCATAAATAAGGTGGTCCCCCTGGAGCACGCCAGACCCAGCCTTGAAGTTCGAGGAGAGGAAGAAAGGCAGAGTGGGTTGGAGCCGTGAGAAATGAATAGGGAGAGAGGGAGGCCAGGTGGGCTGGGGGGAGGCAGGGGTTGTCAGGAGAAAGGAGGGGGCAGGGCTCAGCCCAGACACCCTCCGCCCTTGAGCACACCCCTGCCCAGCCTCCAGCTTAGGAGGACTCAGAGGACAGGTACCTCCTCCCGAGGTCCTGGGCCCCAGCCTCGCCCTCTAAGGAGGGCAGTTCGGGTGCTTGGGGAGCTTGGAGGAAGGGCTACTGTGGATGGTGGACAGAGAGGAGGGAGATGCATGTACAACAGCACCCGGGCAGGGCCACCGTGGGTGGGTACCCACAGACCCACGGGCAGTCAGAGAGGAAGACAACAGAAACACGGAGGCCGAGGCAGAGCAGGGAGATGGCCAGGCGACCCTAAGCAGGCTGACGCTGGTGTGTGCATCTGGGGAGGTGTCCCCTCTGTGGCCCAGGGTCAGGGTGAGGCGCTGCTGGAGGCAGAGGTGGAAGAGGCAGCTTAGGAGGCGGCAAGTTCCCATCTGGGGAGGGCACAGGGAGAGCCCGAGGGAGGCGTTGTGTGAGAGCCCTCGGCTCTACCCTGGACTGAAGTCACCATGTGCAGACCTGCTCAGGTCCCGGTGCCAAGTGCCCCATAGGAGTGTCTGGGATTCCAGCAGGAAGATGCCTGGACAGGATGGGGAGAGGAAGCCAGGCAGCCAGGAGCTGAGCATGGGGCAGGGCCAGGCAGGCGCAGAGATGGGCAGCCAGACTCTGACGGTCAACCCGGACTTGGCCGTGGCCAAGTGAGAGTGAGGGGCCGGCGTCTTCCAAGCCCCAACTCCCCATCCCCTAGATGTAGCCCAGCCGGTGGCACTGCCAGTCGCCTTTCAGCTCTGGCCAGGCTCTTCTCAGTGCTGGAGTTGGGCACGTGGATGACTTTGCCCTGATCTTTGTAACTTTGCTATCGACCCAGGTCCTCTGAAATGCATCGATTTGCCCAAATCAATATTTATTGTGGCTTCAAAGACTAGGGGGTAGGAGAGAGGGGCCTGCGGGCTGATGAATGGAGTCAAGGCGGCCAGAGAGCAGTCACCCCCACCTCCCTCCCAGCAGTCCTCAGCAGCCTCCACACCTGCCCTGCCCCCACCCAGCCCCTGCCTCCACCCTGAGGGCCCCTAGGGACCGTACACCCAGGTGTGCACAAAGGATGAGCTGGTGGAGGTCACCGGTGCCCTGGTGACCCCTCTCACTCCTGCACCTCTGACAACGAGCGTCCTGCCCACTGGGGCTGTTTCCCGGAGGCTCAAAGTGAGTTCCCAGGAACCAAGCCCATCCAGGGTTCATTTCCCAGGGGAAGCCCCTCCCCCCGCATCCCCACCTTCCAGGTCACACGGGGCCTGTAGGTGGGCTCTTGTCTCAGCTCCACAGGGCCCCTCGTGGTGGGCCTGGGGCCAGCAGCAGACACACTGGACAAGGACACAGGGCATAAGGAGGTCTGCGGAAGGCAAAACACGTTCACAGAGAGAAACACACGTTCACAGGGAGGAATTCTCAAGGCCAAGGACTGACAGCGGCAGCAGACCCCGGAACATGGCAAGCAAGACCCCGTGGGGGGGCAGCAGCTGGCAGCTGCATTGATGAGCAGACAGAGAGCCTGAGCCGAGGTGAGACGTGGGGCAGACCTGCCCGTCCCCTCGGAAGGCCACTGAGGCTGTGAGCCGCAGCGCTGGCCACAGGCTGCCCTGGGCAAGCCCACCCCTGTGGAGGCTTCTTCCCGTCTACTCCTGCCCTGTGACTCCTGCTCTCCTCTGAGGGTCCGAAAGGGCCCAGCCACGTGCCCAGAAGTTCACCACCTTGAGGACCTGTCCCTGGAAAATCCCAGCTTCCCTGGAGATGAGGGGCAGGTGGGAGCCGAGCAGGTGGCCCTTCAAAGACTGGGGTGTTGGAGAATTGCTAGCGTGCCCTGCACAAACACCATTGCCTCTCAAAGCCTCGGTTTCCTTCTCTGCGAGATGTCCCGGGGTGTCAGGGAAGTGGTGTGCAGCAGGGTCCCCCCACCCCAAGGCTGGCGGCCCTGCCTCTCAGGCAGAACTCAGGCAGAAGACCCCAGGCAGAGTGGGCGGGGATGAGGACAAGATGGGCTGCCCTGGCCACTGGGGGACCCGTGAGGACCAGGGGCTCGTTGTGCAAACACAAACCCACCCCAGGCCCAGCTGGGGCCTCAGAGGCGCTCCTGATCTGCCTGGCACCTGAGGCAAGCAGGGGTAGAGGAGCATGGAGGAAGCAGGCCTGGTGGTCGGGAGCTGCCTCTGGAAGCCTTCCTGGAAGAGGAGGCTGTGTCCCCAGCAGCCTCGCAGAACAGCTAATATTTCTTGATGGCATGGCGACTGCCTTCACGTCCCCGATCTCAGATCAATTTTTAATGTAGAAGGGAAGCCAGGAGACCAGAGTTTGGCCGACTGGCTGCTTGGTAACTGAGTTCAATCTCAATGAGGGCCCCAGGGCCCTTCCCTCCGGCCCCTTGCCCGCTTCAGGGTCCGAAAGGGCCCAGCCACGTGCCCAGCCACGTGCCCTCCTGGGAGGGCGTCTGTGGCTCCACTGCCTGCCCCCACAACTCAGCCTTCTGGAGGGAACACAGCTGTGTTTAGGGAACTCTGCAAAACTCAGTGGATGCCGAGGGCTCCTGGCAGGGGCCGGGAGAAGGGGGTCCTGAGGGACGAGCCGCTCCAGGGCAGGGAGAAGACGGGTGAAGAAGTGCGGGGAGGTCTCAGGGCAGAAGGAAGTCCCCTGCGTGGTGGGAGGGTGCTTGCCTGCAGTGGGGCCCGGAGAGGTGCCCCAAGACCAGGGCCCTCAGATTTTGGCCCTGTTTTCTGCCCCCAGCTGAGAGTCACCTGGCAGGTGCCTAGCCAAGCATCCAACCCAAAAGCCTCCCCCACCCAGGCCACTCTGTGGAAAGCTGCCTGGCTGGGACACCCTTGTGGGCTGTCTCTGTCGGGGTCACCATGTGACCTGGTTCCTGGGGCCCTTCAGTTTTCTACAGCGTCCTCAGTGAGTGGGTGTTAGTTTGTAGTTAGAGTGAATGTGCCACAGGCCAACAAGAAGGGGACGAAGGGGAAGCCGGGGAGGACATGCAGGCCCTGGCCAGAGTCACCCACACCCCAGGCCCACAGACGGGAGAGAAAGGGCCATCAAGGGGACCCCCGCCCACCTGGGGTGAACAGGGAAGCAGCTGCTCCCAGGGGAGGGGGGTCCTGCCAGGAGCTGAGGCCTTCTGGAGAGGTCCACCAGCACAGGCCCCCCGCAACAACCCTCCTTCTCGGGGCCCAGGACAGAAGTGGGAAGAATCTACTTGGTTGACCTGGGGTCGGTGAGGAGACACAGGCATTTCCAAGCTGTGGGGCCCCCTGCCGGGCCAGATGGATGGGCTTGGGGCAGCACCAGCCCGTGGTGAACCAACAAGGACGCCAGGTGCCCATGTGGGGCCAGGAGGTCTTCGGGTGGTGAGGGAGGGTTCTCAGAGGATGCTGAGAGGTGGCAGCGCCCTGACCAGGGGCTGGGGTGGGGCAGGCTGTGGCTGCAATCTCAGTCCTGCTTTATGTCCACAAGGAGACACGCCCCCACTCCGCTCCTGGGCTGCGCTGATTTTTACAGACAAGGAAACTGAGGCTCGGAGAGGTTAAAACCCTTGCCTGGTGTGGACCTGGCTCACAGACCCACACGCTGCGGACCAGGCAGGAGCTCTCAGAGGCACTGTTTCCCACTCATGAGATGCTTGTCCAGGAGCAGCCACAGCCCTGGAGTGGGGAGGCAGCACCTGGGAAAGGCAGGGGCAGTGGGGAGGCTGCCTGACCCACCGCCTCCTCTGACAGAGGCGCCAACCCCATGTGCAGGGGAGGGGTGGAGGGATACCAAGGTGGGGGTCAGGGAGGCCCCGAGCCTCGCCCAAGCTCCCCAGCCTTGAAGCTGCAGGCAGGACACTGGCCCAGGAAGCAGCAGAAGACAGTTGTCCCGGCAAGTACTGGGCACTTCCTGGGTGCAGTGCCAGCAGGCCAGGGAGGGTGTGTGCTGCCCATGGAGCCTGGCAAGAAGGTGCACACCCAACGCTAGGGCTTCAGAAGCTCATAAGATGGTAGTGGGAGCCCCTCCTGGCTGAGAGCCTGAGCTCCAGAGCACATGGTAGGACCCGGAGATCAAGAATCCCACATGGGGCCAGGTGTGGTGGCTCAAGCATGTAATCCCAGCACTTTGGGAGGCCGAGGTGGGTGGATCATGAGGTCAAGAGATCGAGACCATCTTGGTCAACATGGTAAAACCCTGTCTCTACTAAAAATACAAAAAATTAGCTGGGCATGGTGGCACGTGCCTGTAATCCCAGCTACTCAGGAGGCTGAGGCAGGAGAATTGCCTGAACCCAGGAGGCAGAGGTTGCGGTGAGCCAAGATCGTGCCATTGCACTCCAGCCTGGGTAACAAGAGGGAAACTCAGTCTCAAAAAAAAAAAAAAAAAAAGAAGATGACACATGGATGGGGTGCCCGGACTAGCACCCCGAGAAGAGAGTAGGGCCATCCTGGCCCTTGGTCTGCCAGGCCTGCAGGGCTGTGGGCTCCCACTGGGTGGGCTGCAACTAGAGGCTGTGCACCTGTGCCCAAGCTGGCCCAGCACCCACCCTCTCACCTGCACGTGCATTCCCCGGCCGGTTTGTCGGCTAGTTCATTCTCTCACTGACCCCTCAACTATTATTTACGAGTCTCCCAGGTGCTAAATAAAGTCAGGGGAACATGGCAGGAGCCAGGAGCCAGGGCTGGGGGTCATGTCTGGGTCCTGCTTCCCTTTTGCTGAGGGATAAGGGGTGCCCCTCGAGGCCAAGTTCCCGAGAACCCACTGTTCTGACCCCCAATGTGCTGCCCCAAGTCCGCGTCGCTGGGGGAGGGCCGCACGGAACGTGTCTAAGATGGAGAGCCCTGTTCACCTGCCTTCTGTTCCTGCCGGAGTCACCGCCTGGGGACCGACACCACACTGCTCTCCAGGGCCAGCCTCCCTGTTCTGTGAGCATTGATTTCTACGTTTCCAGCAGAGCCTGGAATTAGAAGCTGACATTTGTTTGGACAGAAAGAGCATGAATATTGTCTCTGGGGTGTCCTGGCCCGTTCCTGCCTGCCAGCCTGGAACAGACCCCAAGCCCGACTCCCGGTCAGCTCACCGGCCCACCAAGGAGGAGGACACAGAAGGCACCCAGTGCCCGGGCAAAGCCAATTGCGTGGCATGGGAGTTCCCCTGCCCGAGGCTGCTGCCTGGAACCCACCCCAGCACACCATTCCTGAGGCCTGAGAGCAGCCATGGACGGCACTGTCCCAGATATAGCAGTTGGTACAAAGTATGTACCAACTGTCCCTCCATTCTTAGAAAGGACACTTCCTCCCACCGGGTTCTGGGCAGGCAGTGGCGACATGTGCCCTGACTAGGGCTGGTCAAGTGCATGGGTCCGAATCTATTAACCAAGCTGTGCTGGTCACATGCCTCCTCCCCGGCAGGCCCGACACAGCACCAGACGGGACAGCCTTTACCGCTCCGCTGTGTATATGCCTTGAGGGGGATGTGCTGATCTGAGACCCCCCAGCCACAGCCACAAGGTGTGTCCAGGCCTGGTCTCCTTCCCCCGTTCCTGGTAGTGGTCTGACTTTGGTTTTCTTCTTTCCTGCCTGTAATCCTCGTGTGAGCAGCCTGGAGGCCAGTATGGAGGAGGTGAGCTAAAGGAGCAACAGCAGGGCCCTGAGAAGGGCAGGTCCTCCTCCTGAAGCTGGGGTGACCCCTTGGGACAATGGCAGGGTTGCTGGCTGGCCCACGGACCCTGCCACCTGCTGCCCTGGTGGGCTTGAGACATTTTCAGGAACAGATTCACGTCCAGCAAAGTAGCTGCTGGGCGGGAGCTCTGCCTCTGAGGTCCCCGGGATCTGCCCTCCCCTGGCTGGCCGGGACACTTGGAGGTGTGGTGGTGACAGCAGCACCCTCAGTCATCATCACATGTGCAGGGTGGAGCCCAGTGTGGGTTAGGGCTGATGGCATCAGGACCAGGTTGAGGGGACGAGCATGTGGTAGGGATGCTGAGGGAGCTCAGGATACGTGCGGGCTCTGCCTTCCCCCTGCATCTCCAGCAAGCCCCTTCCATCAACCAAGGCTCCCCATCTGGGTAGGGCCGTCCTGGGGTTTAAGCAAAAGGTAGGCACACAGTAGGTGCTCGAAGACCTCAGCAGAGGATGGGGTGTCTGGGGAGGGGAGAAGAAGGCTGCTCTAGGGACCAGCACGGGAGGCCAGGCATGGCGGCAGGAACATCTACCACCCAGCATCCACCTGAAGGCCAGTCACCAGGAAGGCAAGTCTTGACCCAGATCTGTCGTCTCCAAAGCATCTGTGGGTCATAAAACGTGGCTGAGCTGAGAGCCAGGGTGGGATTCTCATGCCCAACCCTGCCCCTGGGAAACATAACGGGTCTCTGCCGGCGCTCAGCGCCCCGCCCCCCCCAGGACCGCTCAGCGCACAGACACACAGCAAGGCCCCCAGATACCCCCACAGCCATTGGAAGAGCCCAGCACTTCCGGGATCCCCATTTCCCAACTTCCACCCAGGATACCCGCAGCCTGCTTCACAAACGCCAGGCCCTTGCACACAGTAGGTGTTTGGGGGCTGCGAGGCCTCACACCACCTAACAGCCCCCTCCAGGACCCAGGAAGGAAGAGGGGGCCCAAGGGTGGAGGGTGGGTCTCCAGGGGCTCTGTGCGGTAGATCCCGGAGCCCAGCATGGCCCCCGGCAGAGCACTGGGGAGGGTCCGGGGCAGGCCTGCCCCCAGGGCTACATGCGGCTAAGCCCTGTGAGGGCGATCAGAGGGAGGATCACCACAGCTCTGTGCTCTGTATGGCAATGCATGCCCTGTTAATCCTTATGTAGGGCTCCCACTAGCCCCTGTGTGCCCCACGCTGGCCCTCCCCCCTTGTGATCTGTCCCCCAACCCACCTCAGCATCTCCAAGGCCTCCGGAGCAGAACTGAGAATTACAGCAGCTCATTGGGCAGCGCTCCCAGCCAGGGTTGGGAGCTGATTCATCCCGAGGCAGCATCTATGACCTTCTAGAAAGGTCTCTGCCTGCTGAGGGTGGGCAGGCAGGCGGGGTCCAAGGCCAGCGCTGAGATCTGCTGCCAGGAATCCGCCTGACATAGCTGGCAACACCTGCTTGAGCGTGGTGTTTAAGGAGCTGTCCTGGAGTCATCTACGCCATGAAATCCCAGACACACCTGCATGTCCCGCTCCTGGGCTGCATCTGGCACAGGAAAGAGCAGCCGAGAGAGTGACGGAGTCTCAGGCTCCCGGTACAAGCTGCGGACAGAGCCCAAGCCGTGCTGTCCTCACAGCTCCTATGGGCAGAAAAGCTGATGAGGCCGTGTGAACCGTTCCCCAGAAAGAGGACAAGCTCCTTTGTCCCCCGACAGGACGTGCAATGGGGAGCGGCTCGATTCTTTGGTCCCCCACTGCTCAGACCTCGAGGGCTCTGACCCCACAGCAGCGTCTAGGGGTGGATGTTTACAGCTGAAGCCCCAGCGGGAGTGTTACAGGTGCTCTTTTAGTTTAGCCATCTATTGGCAGCTTGTGTTCAGCTCAGCTAGACTCCTGCCTCGTCACAAGGACAGACGGCTTTCTGTATCCTGGGGTGCTTGCCTTGTGTACCGGGAGAATCCCATCACAAGTGGGCTTGGAGAATGAGTGTGAGGTTTTACTGAGTGGAAGTAGCTCTCAGCAGATGGGGGAGCCAGAAAGGAGACAGTTTTCCCCTGGGCAGCCTGGCCTCTCCTTAGAATGCCCCAGCAAATGCCAAGTCGTTCGGCTGCCGCCTGTTTCACAAGCCAGGCCTGCCGGTGCCCGTCGGTGTGTTCCTCTGGTTGTCCAGCCACTGGTGTCTTCTTCCACCAATCCACTCCGCTCAGTGTCCGCCCGCTTGAGTGTCTGCCTGCTAGGGTGTCAGGTTTTTATAGGCACAGGATGGAGCATGGCACGCCAGGGTAGTCTTAGGAAATGCAACATTTGGGCAGGAAATGCCTGCCCTCACCTAGGTCCGCCGGGGTGGAGCCCTCCCCTGCCCAGCACTTCCCCTCCCCTCTTTCACATCATTCAAAGGGGCCACGCTCTTCCCTTCCCAGCACTACTGTATCGCCCCCAGCTTGGGTTCCTGGGCGTCTGTCTTCCTTAGCACGTGGGCACTGCACACCTTCTGGGCGTCTGTCTTCCTTAGCACGTGGACACTGCACACCTTCTGGGCGTCTGTCTTCCTTAGCACGTGGACACTGCACACCTTCTGGGCGTCTTTCTTAGCACGTGGGCACTGCACACCTTCTGGGCGTCTGTCTTCCTTAGCACGTGGGCACTGCACACCTTCTGGGCGTCTGTCTTCCTTAGCACGTGGACACTGCACACCTTCTGGGCGTCTGTCTTCCTTAGCACGTGGGCACTGCACACCTTCTGGGCGTCTGTCTTTCTTAGCACGTGGACACTGCACACCTTCTGGGCGTCTGTCTTTCTTAGCACGTGGACACTGCACACCTTCTGGGCGTCTGTCTTCCTTAGCACGTGGGCACTGCACACCTTCTGGGCGTCTGTCTTCCTTAGCACGTGGACACTGCACACCTTTTGTGTCCATAGCCAGTGCTGTGTTTGTCATGGGGTGGTGGGAGGACAGGAAAACACATGCCTTTTTGTGTTTTGTTTTTAATTCTTTGTTTTTTAGAGAAACGGTCTTGCTCTGTCACCCATGGTGGAGTGCAGGGGTGTAACCATACCTCACTGTAGCCTCAAACTCCTGGGCTTAAGCAATCCTCCTGCCTCAGCCTCCCAAGTAGCTGGGACTATAGGTGCGTGCCACAGTATCTGACTATGATTTTTTATTTCGTTTGTTTTGGGTCAAGATGGGGGTCTCACTACATTGTCCAGGCTGGTTTTGTGCTGGCCTCAAGCGATCCTCCTGCCTTGGCCTCCCCAGCCAGTGCTGGGATAGTAGGTGTGAGCCACTGTGCCTGGCCCCAATACATGCCTTTTCTGTGAGGCCAGAGCTGGTGGGTGTGTTTATGGGGTACATGAGATATGCTGATGCAGGCACACAATGGTTAGTTTCACATCGGGGAAATGGGGTGTCCATTCCCTCAAGCACTCATCATTTCTTTGTGTTGCAAACATTCCAAACACACTCTCTTAGTCATTTTTAAATGCACAATAAATTATTGTTGACTGCAGTCCCAATACATCTTTTTTTTTTTTTGAGACAGAGTCTCACTTTGTTGCCCAGGCTGGAGTGCAGTGGCACGATCTTGGCTCACTGCAACTTCTGCTTCTCAGGTCCAGGTGATTCTCCTGCCTCAGCCTCCCAAGTAGCTGAGACTTCAGGTGTGAGCCATCATGCCCAGCTAATTTTTGTATTTTTAGTAGAGATGGGGTTTTTCCATATTGGCCAGGCTGGTCTCGAACTCCTGACCTCAAATGATCTGCCTGCCTCCACCTCCCAAAGTGCTGGGATTACAGGCGTGAGTCACCTGGCCCAGCCCCAGTACATGCTTTTTAATGGTCAAGTCCTGTAGGCCATGAGGCCTGAAGCAGGTATGCCCCTGGCACGGCTCAGGCTGGTCCGAGTGTGGAGGGAGGCAGTGGCGGGAGCTTTACTCTCAAGTCAGCAGTAGGAGTCATGGCCCCAGGTGGCAGGAAGAGGGTAAGCGCCTGGGGATCCCTGCATGGGGATGGACAAGCCTAGAGTGGCTCTGGCTGTTACCTGCTCTCTGTGAGGCCTAGGCAGGGGACTCGAGGGTCCCCCTCAGTTTCCTTGTCTGCACGGTGGAGGCAGTGGGCCTGTTCCTGGGCTGAATGACTTCAGGGGCCATGGGCTGCGGACTCACATCCCACTTTCTGGAAGCATCCCATGAGCTCTGACGGCCCCTGCCCGGTTGCTGAGGCTGCCCACGCTCCAGGGCCGATGCTGTTACCGTGGAGCCCACAGTCTCCTGAGTTCCCACTGCTTCCCTCTTACTCTAACCCCCAGCCCTCTGGGGCCTGCTGCCAGCCCCATGCCAAACCCAGGGTGGAGGTGACAGCTGGGCACATGCTGGACACCAGTGTCCTTGGCCTGTGGCTGTCCTCACCGCAGGGTGCCCAAGTCAGGATTCAAACCCAGGCCCGAGCTGCCCCTGTCTGTGCAAGGCTCTGTGCCCCGCCCTTCCAGCTCATCTCGAGTATCTGACCCCAGAGTTCTCATGCCAGATGCTGGCCACGTAGAAGACACCTCCGGCCACAGACAGGCCTGGGGGCCTTACTCACCATGATGCGCAGCTCTGTCCAGGAAAAGAGACAAGGCCACCTCCAGAAGGCCCCAGCACATGGGCCTCAGGCACAGGGATTGAGATGGAAGGAGGGCCTGGTACCCTGGGGCACCGGCCAGCTCAGCATCCAAACACCTGCCCTGGGCGTGTGAAGAAGCAAAGAGGTCAGAGCCTGTCCCACCCAGCCACGCAGCCTCAGGCAAGAGGCAACACCCTGGGCCTCAGGTTACCCTCTGGGAAGAGAGCATGCGTGGGGGGCCGGCTCAATACAGCAGGTCCTTAGCACTGCTCCTGTGCGTCTGCTGGTGGGACGCCCCCAGCTGCACTGGGTTTGGCCGTAGAGTCCTGGGACACAGACACCAGCCAGAGTGGCCTACGACAGGAGTCCCGCCTTTCCACCAGCCCCTTTCTGCTGAAGGACACTTCAGACTTCGGTTCATTCCCTGTCACTTTTGTCACCAGTAAGTATGCCAGGAGGTTAACAGGCAAATAACACAGCTGGACGCAGCATGAGGCCACAATGGCCATGGACCGGGAGGACTGTGGGACCCCAGGGCTGGACAGCATCTGGGCAGCCGATGCCAGCCTTGGCAGACCCCACGGCACCTGCCCAGAGGCTATGCCCGCCCAGGCACGGCCCTGTAAAGTGGGCAGTCAGAGGCAAAGGTCACGGCCGCTTCGGGCTCTTTACTGCAATGCATCCCCTCTGTTAATCCTCACTCAGGGCTCGGACAAGCCCCTGTGTGGCCCCATGGGTGGCCTTCCCCCTCCGGTGACGCCGCTCCCCAACCCCTGCTGTGTGCAGACCCCATGGCATCTGGGCAGTCAACACCAGCCTTGGCCACCAGACAGCAGCCCAGGAGGCCCATCAGGGCCAGGCAGCGACAGAGGTTTCCCAGGGAGGGTCCCCACACCCCTGCTTCCCTTTCCTCCCCACCCATCCCTTCCCGATTCCGAGGCCGCTGCTCCAGCCACCCACCTGCTCCACTACTGTTTACTCGAGGGTTTTCTTCAAATGGGTGTTTTTAACTCAAGTGATTATATTTTGAAAGGAAATCTTACAGAGCCACTAGAAATGGAAAACAAGCATCGCAGGTGGCAAATAGAAGGTGTCCGTGCAAGCGGCATGAAAAGAGTGCCCGAGAGATCCCACACAGCTGGGCCTGCCATGAGGCTCCAGCTCCACTCAGCGCCAGGAGGGGATTACTCCGGGTCACACCAGGGAGAACTGGGATCTGCCTTCCAGCCCCACACCAGGAGAGCGCCCCCACCTGGTGGTCGGAAAGTTCATCCTTTAATCAATGCAGCCCTTACTGGGCAACACCTGTAAGCACTGCCCAGTGGGGACATGAAATGACTGAATCTTGGCCCCAGTTCAGAGACAGCATCTGCAGACAGAGACTCTGACTTTCCACTATTTCCCCAGTCCCACTCCCAAGTCCCGCCCTGCACTGGAGTGTGGGCAGAGGAGACAGACAGCAGCCCTAGGCTGGTGGTGTCCACACCCAGGCTACCTGGCCATCTCAGACTCACCTACACCCACCATGCTAAAGCCTCTGAGAAGTCCCGCAGAGGACACATCAGCCTTGTTTAACTCAGTATTTCCCCAGGACTCCTTCTCCCCAGCTCAACCCTGGATCTGGAGCGTCCTCTGTGAAAGACGGACAGTAGGCAGCCTCCTGGGCAGATCTCATCCATCCACACGGTGAGTACACTTGCAAATCCAGCTTCGTTCAAACAGCAAAATGATTCCCTCACAAATGACATCCGCCAGTTCTTGTGTGCAGTAAAGCCATGGGGCAGAACTGCTCAGCACTCCATGTATCCAGGCCAGGAGCTGCAGCCTCACCCAGTACACCCCAGCCCCCAGCCTGAGCAGGAGAGACTCAGCCCTCTACAGTGTGTTCTCTGCAGACCTTATCAGTGCCTTGGCCGATGACTCTCTATCCAGCCATTTCAAGCTCAGCCATAAAAGGAAAGTGAACATGGCTCCCTCCTGCATGTGGCAAGTGTTCATGCTCCGAAAAGCCTCTAGGACAGGACAAAGATGCTCACCCCTACCCGCTGGTCCGTGCAGGTGCTGCTGAGAGAGACGCACCCATCCTCAGGGATTCGTGGGAGGGCACCCTGTGACTGCAGCCCAGCACCGGTTATAGGGATCTTAGAAAGGTTTCTATTGCCTCACAGTTCAACCTACCCAGGAGGGCCCCGTGACCCATGCACGCTGAAGCTCCCAGGAAGCTGCCCAGGGAGGCCCCGTCTGTACCTCTGCAGCTGCAGAGCCTGCCCAGCTACCTTCTGGGAGGGGCAGCATCTGAAGTGGGGCCTTTAGGATGGGGCAGAGCTTTGCGGGGGGAGAGAGCAGGTGGAGGGAAGAGCAGGAAGTATGTGGGAGCCCCACTGGCCAGGGGACAGGTCCCGTGGTTGCCAAGAAAGTGGGGGGACCTGCTGAGCCTGGAGAAACTGAGGCCAGGGTCAAGAGTAAGCTCACACCCATATTCCCAGGGCTTTGGGAGGCCAGGAAGGGAGGATTGCCTGAGGCTGGGAGCTTGAGACCAGCCTGAGGAGCAAAGCAAGGCCCCATCTCTACTAAAAAATAATTTTTAAAGAACTATCTGGGCGTGGAGGCACACACCTGCGGTCCCAGCTACTCAGAGGCTGAAGCCAGAGGATGGCCTGAGCCCAGGAGTTGGAGGCTGCAGTGAGCTATGATTGTGCCACTGCACTCCAGCCTGGGCAACAGAGTCTTTTGAAAAGGTGGGGAGGGGTAGGGGCTAAACACAACAGTGGCTGCCAGAGCCTGTGGAGACGGAGGGGCAGCCACTCTGACCACTGCCCAGGCTGAGTGGCCCCAGTGTGCCTCTTTCCCTTGGCCTTCAGCCCACAAGGCGACACCCTCACCTGCCTCACAGAAGGGGGTTGTTCCCCACGTCACTCAGCCCACAGGTGG